GAGGAAAGGGAGAGGAAAGGGAGAGGAAAGGGAGAGGAAAGGGAGGGGAAAAGGAAAACAGGACCGTTTCTCACACGGACCATTTTTGATGCCAAAAGTTATCGTTTTCGTTATCGTTTTGTTATCGTTCGTGAATCCTGTGTACGTTCCTTTTTTGGAAATGGCTGCAATCATCAAAAAAGGAATGTCACCTATCAGGCACCTGCCTTGTGCAGAATCTGACACGCATTTGTTGGCGCGTCATTACGACGACAGACAATGAAATGAAGAAACCAAACACACTAAATAGCTGTTGAAAGACGGAAAAATAAAAAACATTGGATTTCAAGAGTCTGGACGCAGACAATTAACAGAACCAACGTTCAACGTTATCTTTTTTTCCTCTTATCGTTTTTCGAGTGAAAGCTAAAAACGGTTCATGAAGGATCATGGAAGACTAAACGAACAGGCGCGGGGTTTTACAAACTCCCATATGGATCATGAGAACAATCAAGAATACCGAATACCCCCTATCCCAACCGGCCCAACCACTGGTACTGGTTGCCTGCTACGGATCCCTATTCTGACTTATGGGCATCACCGATATTAAGTAGTAGTATGTATTAACATGTATTAACCCTCCAATGGCCCATGTGGCAACTTCAGCAAAACAAGTTTAAACGATTTGATTTCAAACATTTAAACATTTTGGGGGCATCCCCGTAAACGTGTTTAACCACTTCTTTAAACTTAAAACGGTTGAACATGGTTATTATATTGACGGACTCAAAATTAGAATACTCTTTTGGGAACGCGCGGAAGGAAAAAAACGCATAAATACATGAAGTGTCACATTCTAACTTTGAAACCTGGACCAGATTCTGATTCACACTTTGAATGCCTCATTCAGTACCTGATGCAAGAATGACAAAAGCAATGAAAACATAATTTTTTCCGATGGTTTTCTAAAAGCCACTGTGCAGTTAGAATGTGCCCCGGCCCCTTTATCCAGGTGTCCATACATATTCAAAAAACTTTGGGATGTCTGCGTCTGATTTTGCAGGTCTTGCTTGCGGAGGCTTTCCAAAAAAAAACAATGAAAAGGCCATAAATTTTGAAAACACATGCAAAAATCATGATTTTAATACCGGCGGAATGACAGTGGGCATGGGGCATTCTACCCGCATTCTAACGTCCCTAAGTGCTCCCGGAAAAGTTTTGAATTCGCACTTTCACATTCTAACTTTCAGTCCGCCGGTATAAAGTTTAAAAGGCTACTTAGTGTTTACACATGTTTGGCCCGACCCTGCTCACGAAATATTGTAGCATATGCAAAGCAAAGCAAAACAACGAAAAAACACATTGTCAATTATACCCTTGTCCTCAAGCTGTTGAACATGTTGTTCCAACTGCTCCACTCGGCCGGTGCAAAGACTTAACTCATGACTGTTTCGCCCATGCCTGGGTCGTAATCACGGGCGGTTTTGCAGCGTCAGAATTTAGAGAAAAGACTGCGATACCTGATACCTTCATCCAAGTGACGCCATCTGTTGTGTTTTGTGGTAATCCCTTTGCCCCAGTCTTTTTGATTTTGAGGCAGTGAACAGGTGAAAAGGCCTTGAAGTACAAACCAGCACAAACCCATACAGATCAATAAAGTCTTCTTATTCATATACAATACAATATAATTCAGTCACAGTAGATGTAGAATTATATTGCGGCGTTCCAAGTACAATATCTTACTGACGACAGCCCGAGCGCAGCGGCAAACCTCGGTAACTACCTTTTGCGCCACAAGTTGGGGCTGCAGATGAACCAGTGGAACCGTGTGGCCAAAATTGGCCATACCCTATACACTACCCGTAGGTTATGTGGAGCTCATGTTTGTCAGCTGCCACAATTTTGTGTTGGCCACACGATATTCTGCAAAATGCAGAAGAAATACTCTTCTACTTCTTCCTCGCTCTTCAGAGGCCTGTTGCTGGAAGAGCGGGAGCGAGATCTGGCATTCGCGTCCCGCTGCCTCTTCAGCAATTCGTTCTCCTCCTTGTCGATCCTCAGGCAGGCATGCTTCAGGAGATGTAGAAGAGCTCCATTCCCCTTTGTGATGTGATGTCGGACTTGGTCAGCACGTCCACACCGGCATTCTCTGATGTGGTGTCCATCGGATGTGCGACCCCGTCTTCTGCATCACATCCACTATCACTGCCAGCTCCAGCGCTGTGCGGCGGTCTTGCCTGGATGCTGGGCACTGCTTGTAGATGGCGTCGTAGAGGGACTTGGCATCCGTGATGCTGCACTGCTCTTGGCGACTGATCAGCTCGCACTCCTCGGGCAGCACCACCATGAAAGGGCTCACACTCGCCCTCCAGTTGCTGGTTCGAACATCTCCTCGAACCAGGTCTCTGTAGAAGATCTGATGCCACTCCAGCTCTCCCAGGCATTGAGACAGTGCCATCGTCGCACTGGCCATGGTGCTGGTAACTCTCCTCTTCAATTTAGAGGACCTCCAGGACAGCACGCTCACGGGGATCTTCTTGTCGTGGGAGGGCAGCAGGTTGGAGGTCACCACCATCCACGCTCCTTGAACTGGATCTTCTGGAAGACCTTCCACTCCAGCTCCTCTCACTTCTCCATCAACGCCCCCAGCGCCGCTGATTCCAATGAAGGTCATCTCCTTGGAGTCGAAGGCACGGATCCTCAAGCCCTGGCTTGCGGTACTCCTCAGGTGCCCATTCATCTTGTTCAAGTGGATGCCATCGTTGACGGTGGCATTGTGCAGCCTGCTGGACCGCTGGACAATATCGAAACTGTGCCAGCTGCCTCCGGCCGGGTTTGGTGAGCTACCCAGCTGACCCGATATAGTAGAGACCTGAACTCCTTGAACTCGGTCTCATTCAGCAGGCTCTCTTTGTTCCCTCGCTTCCAACTTCTCCAAGATGTACTTCTCCTGGAACAGCTTGATCTCCTTATTGTCCTCCTTCTGAATCTTCCGGCCAATGAACTCGGCCGCATCGTGGTCCCACTTGCCGAAGTGAAATCTGCTTTGGAGACTCAGTCGTAGCTCCTCTTGGCTCTTCTTGTCCCGAGACGCGATCAGAAAGTCATCCACCTCAATCAGGACAATGGTCTCCACTTGGAGGGCCGGGGGCGGTTATAAGTACATAGCAAGGTTAGAGCACTTTTATAACCTACTTACTAAGTGCTGTAACCTACCTTATAAGTGGTGCTAAGTTACCTTATAAGTGGTGCTAAGCGGTCTGCTGTCTCTAAGTCACTTACGTAAGTAGTGACAGTTTTGGGCTAACTATAGATTATGTTCCATAAATGATTACGCAACTTTTGGCACTTGGCTAACCACTTAGCGTATGTGGGCTAAGTGAGATAGGCAGCTTACGCCTTAAGTGGCCTAAGTCCTGTAAAGGACTTACGGTACTTACGTATCTAGCCTAATTGCACTTACAAAAATTTGCGGAAACACAAAATCCCGGTTCATATTTGGTGGAAACACAAAATTCTGAATGGGGTTTTTGTGGAAACACAAAATTCCGTTGCAAGTTTTCGTGGAAGCACAAAAATCCAAATCGCGTGTTGCGGAAACACAAAAGCGCTCGCAGACTTAGGTAAGTGCTGTAAGCCACTTATGTAAGTGCGCTAAGTGCTGTCTCAGTAAGTCCACTAAGTGACATACTGTAAGCGCTGTATCCCAGTAGTACCGCACAAGGCGGTGGCGGAAGTTTCAAAAATAGGAAACCTATAGGAGAGGTTGGTTGTTGTGAATCAGGGATGGCAGAGCGAAGCCACTGATGGACCGAAAGGTGCTCGAGGTCTCCTTTCTTTCCCTCTCTTTCTCTGACTATCTACCTACCTACCTATCTATTTTCTATGTATCTATCTATCTATCGATCTATCTATCTATCTCTCTCTCTTTCTTTCATTCAATTACCCTATCTATCTATCTATCTATCGATCTATCTATCTATCTATCTATCTATCTATCCGTCGATCTATCTATCTATCTATCTCTCTCTCTCTCTCTATCTATCTATCTCTCTGTCTATCAATCTATCTCTCCATGTATCTATCTATATCTCTCCATGTATCGATCTCTGTATCTATCGATCTATCTATCTATCTGTCTGTCTGTCTGTCTGTCTATCGATCTGTCTGTCTTTCTGTCTGTCTATCTGTCTAGCCATCTATCTATCTATCTCATCTACCCAGCTGGCCCCTCTCTCTCTCTCTCTTTCATCTAATTACCTATCTATCTATCTATCTATCTACCTACCTGTCTATCTCCCTCTCCCTTTCATCTCTCTATCTGTCTAGCTGTCTACCTGTCTATCTGTGTTGCAGTGTCATTCAGTGCAATGTAGTGTGGTGTAGTGTAATTTAGTGTAGTGGAGTGTACTGGAGGAGTAATGTACTGTAATGTAGTGTGACTTCGAAGTGTGCTTCGCGCCACAACGGCGTACACTTTTTTTCAACATCTGAACCTCCAAAAATGGTCCGAAACCCTAGTGTTTTGTTCATTTTGACTTCGAAATGTGCTTCGCGCCACAACGGCGTACACGTTTTCGACATCTGAACCTCCAAAAGTCGTCCGAGCATGGTGTGTTTTGTACATTTTGACTTCGAAATGTGCTTCGCGCCACAACGGCGTGCACTTTTTCGATATCGCAACTTCCAAAAGTGATCCGACACTGAGATGCTTTGTGCATTTTGACTTGGAAATGTGCTTCGCACCACAACGGTGTGCACTTTTTCGACATCGCAACTTCCAAAAGTGGTCGGACAATGGTGTGCTTTGTACATTTTGACTTGGAAATGTACTTCGCGCCACAAGGGCGTGCACTTTTTTGACATCTCAACTTCCAAAAGTGGTCCGGGACCGCCAGTTTTTAACACTTTTGACTTCGAAATGTGCTTCGCGCCACAACGGCGCGCAATTTTTCATCGCTCCTGTGGCCAGCTGGCTCCGCACCCGCCGCTTTAGCGAGCCTACTTTTCGACCCTCCGGAGCCACAAATCATTGGAAAAACACAGTGTTTCGCGACTTTCCGCGCATCTGTATCTTCTGTCTTCTTACTCTTTCTCTTCTGATCTTCTCTCTTCTAGTCTTCCTCTTCTCTCTGCCTCTGCCCTGCTCTGCTTTTCATCTCTCCATATTGTCGGAAGTTTGACTTCTAAACTTCCTTCGACAAATAGTACGTGCCGTATGTACCTAGTATGTCCTCTATGTATCGGGTTGGTATTTGGGGAGGAGGTTAGAAGGGCTGGTCAGCCACAACGCCGGGCAGACACGATCACTGTTGCCTATTCCCAGGCGGGCTTGGGACAAAATGCTGTCTCACGTTCCGAAGATGTGGAGGAAGGGCGGGCCGCAGGGTCTGGGAAGAGGGTGGTCGGTTTCCTTATATCTGCAAAACTTGACGATCTGGGAGGGGAAGATAGTTCCGCTCACCCCGTTGGTCAAGTAGATCAGCTAAACTTGACGATCTAGGGGTGCAGGATTCCCGCCCCCCCCGTTGGTCAAGTTTTGGGGTTAGCATGGTGAGATGGTCAAGTAACGTCTGTAACTAGACGATCTGGGGGGGCAGGATTTCCGCCCCCCCCGTTAGTCAAGATCTGGGGTTTCACCTTGTTTTTGGTAATTGGTTTTGATTTACCTTTCTCTTTCCCATGCTGTCTCCTCTAGGCCCCACTGGACTAAACGTGCCTTTTCCCGCAGTAACTCAAGTGTCTTGACATGTTCTCACATTTGTTCTTCCGTCTGTCCGCGATGTTCAAAGCTTATATACTCATTGATCGAGTAGGTTAAACTACACAAGTAGAATCAATTCCTTCATGTCCACAGCCGAGTGCCTACAAAAAAGCCATCAAAATCCAAGCTCTGCTACGAAGCAGCATTCCCAAGAAGAACAGTCATGTACATACCTTCATTAGCTGATAAATCACCTGCATCACACTCACTCTCGCTTGCCCGGTTCGGTCTTCAAATTGAAAATTTAAGGCTGGATCGTGGAGGCAGGTGCCAGCCCCTAGCAATGATGGCAGGCATTGAAGAGGAAGATGAGAAGATGGGCGCAGAGACAAATTTGGCGCAAAGACGAAGTAGTATTGAGGTAGAAGCTACTGTTGGGTCAAGATTTTGTAGCTGTAAAGTAGCTCTGCCCAACCCCAATCACTACATTTTCCATGCACAGGCCACAAAAAAAATCACTACAAAAGTGCAACCCCAGCCTGGATAAAGGGTTACTACAAAAACCAAAGAATCTAACAAGAGGCCCTTCAAGATACCCTTAAAAAACCACACAGATGCTTGATGTTTGCAGTGATTTTTTTAAGTAAATTCCACTCAAGTCTTCGAGATCAATCCAAAAAAATGACAAAGTAGTTTGTAGTGATTTTTTGGTATACACAAAAAAAAAAGGTGAACAGAATTGTCTTTTGAAAGTAAGAAATTAAATGACAAATGCAGGCGCCAGAAAACCTGGTCGTACGTGGTCTTGCGATGATCGATGACAGTAGGTGGTTGCCATGGGGGAGGGACAAAGGTTTCTTGAAGTGGATTTTGTAGCGTTGGAACGCTTCAACTTGATTTTGTAGTGGACCTCTTTGGGCTTTGGGTACGCAGCGGCCAGTGTAATTGAAGGGTATGTTTGTGCGTATTGGTTGACTTTGCAGTGAAAAGCAGAGTGACAGATTGAAAGCATCAATCGAAATGGATTGTCCAATCCTGGGTTTGTGCGTGTGTTGTGCATGTTTTTCTCAGTTGTTGGGTCGAATAAGACATGGCAGCGCAAACCCTAAGTCTCGAAAGTTAGTAATTTTACTCGCCCTGAATTTTACGTAAAATCGACTGTTTTACTAACGTTATTTTACGCAAAATTTTACTAACGTTAGTAAAATTTACTAACGTTAGTAAAATTTTACTAATGTTAGTAATTGAGTTTACTAACGTTAGTAAAATTTTGCATGTTTTCAAAAATTGTGAGAATTGTGTTTTTTTTCTATTGTTTTTCTTAGGAATTGTGATATGTTTGTGATGTGTGTGATTGTGGTTTGCGATGATTTGGCTATGAGTGGGGTGTTTCCAGTGGAGGATTTCAATCGATATGTTGTTGTTTCTGTAGAAGAAACTGCACTTATGTGTTGAGGAATGACTTTACATGAGTTTGTACTGGAGACCTTACTTGCGATTTTATATGAGGAGTTCTTGATACTTTCTTGGGACTTTACCTGAGAGTTCTTTTGAGATGTTATGTGAAACCGTGTACATCTATGTCTATATCTATATCTATATATCTATATAAACATATAAACTGGATTTACATAAGTATAGGTGAATCCACAAAAGGAATTTACATTGGATCTTGACTTTAAGAAGTCATTGCAAAGCATTTACATTTGAAAAAGAAAGTCTAGATAAATATTTGGGTAAATGAGACTAGGTGAAATATCAAAGCAATAATAACCACATCTTATCATTTTTCCAGGCAAGGAAAGTGAAACAAACTTTATTGGATCAGGTTTGTTTGCTACAAAACTTGATCAACTTACATAAAACAATTGCCCATGGGGACTGAAGACATGTCTTTTTCAAAGCTAAATTTAAAAGGGAGCTCATAGACTCTTGTGGTGCTTTTTTTCTCATACAATTTGGAGAAGGTCTGGGTGAAATCCTGGTAAACCTTTGGCTGGCTTGAAAAGATACATCCAAGAAGTCTTAGTGAGACCCTTACTCCACTTTCAATTCCATATGAATATTTTTTCACATGTGTCCAAAGATTTTTTCAGAAAAATGCTTGAACACGGTCAAAAATGTAATGCACTTCCGATGCTTTTGGTACACTTTTGATGCACTTTTGGTGCACTCTTGAATCACTTTTGATGCACTTTTGATGCACTTTTGGTGCACTTTTGATGCACTTTTGGTGCACTTTTGCTGCACTTTTGATGCACTTTTGGTGCACTTCTGATGCACTTCTGGTGCACTTTTGATGCACTTTTGATGCACTTTTGATGCACTTTTGATGCACTTTTGATGCACTTTTGGTGCACTTTTGATGCACTTTTGATGCACTTTTGATGCACTTTTGATGCACTTTT